AACCTGTGTATAAATACCACCTGCTTACAGTGACCACATATGTGCAGTCCCATGGCAATTTATATGTAAAGTGACCTGTGTATAAAGACCACCTCCCTATAGTGACGGTAATGTAATTTACAGATAAAGTGACCTGTATAAAAAGACCACTTGTATAATGTGTAAAGTGGCCGCCATTTTGGTAACAGTTTGGACAAAATGAACCTGTGTAAGAAAGGCAAAACTGGTGACATATTTGGTTTTTTACAATAGACTATTGCAATTTTGTCAACAAGTCCATTTTTTGTTCCTCATCCTCAAATATCTGTTGACCAATTATTATCATAATGTTCTATATAAATTAATTAATCAACCTCTGTATAAAAACTACCTGTCTAAAAGGTCAATTTCTTCAAGAACCTTGTGTTGATGGCAGCTGTATACTGTGTTGTATAACAACCACTGTCTTTGAATGTTCTTGCAGGATTTTTGCATGTAAGTATGCGTATACAAGCATGTGATTTTTTTGCTAATACAGAGTACTGTAAAACACATCTTTTTAACTAGCGTGTTATTTCAGCTAATTTTAATAGCTAATCTATAATTTCGCTAATTCAAGATGTACTGGTAGCTAATTTAAAATAATGTATATTCTCACAATTAGATTGTTGCCATTTTAGCTAAATTAGGATTCTGTTTTCAAATTTGCTAAAATTATATGCGGCTATTTCAATGGGTTTTAAAGTATTCACTCACCTATGTGCAGAAGCTGAGAGTGGGTTGTCAGTAATTGATGGTGGTCTCTCTCGGTGTAATGGTACTCTACCTTCCAACACCTCCACTTTTCTCTCCGATAAACCTAGATTGGTCTCCAATTCACTAATTCTTTGTCTCAGTTGCTGGTTAGTCTGCTGCGTGTCCGTCAATGCTTTTTGTAATTCTTCATCCACATTGGTAGTGCCAGATAGCAGGTTAGCAATAGTTTCTATAAAATCAGATTACACAAACTATTACAACAAATGTGACATCTTACATGTTAACATTTCAGTTTTCTCAAGTAGAATGATGTGAATTGCTGCCGATATCTAGTTCAGAGCGAGACACCCCCGAAGAATTTTTTCTGTTCGTTAAATAATGTTCCACAGCACCCAGTTTTTTATTGCCCAAACTTTATATACCGGTAGTCCTGAGTCCTGTCTCATTGGTATATAAGAGGAATTATTCAAGAAAATAAAAATATTGTATGGGGCTGTATAAAGCTTCTAAAAACACAACTAAAACTAAATTAAACCTTATTTCTTGTGTTTTTACACTTATTTTGTTTATAAAATGTGAATTTTACAAAATTCCATAACTATAAGTAAATGTTTTTGAAGATATTTTTTTGTTGCATCACAAATAGTTCCTGTGCGTGACTTGTCATATGCTTGGGTTCATTATACAAATGTGGACGTACACAGTTTTACGTCCCGAAGAGGTCATTGTCAACCGAGGAGCTCATTGTCAGTCGATATGAAACTGAGGTTCTGAGGGTCTCTAAAACTGTATGTCCCTCGCTGTTGGGTTGAAAATTTGTATTATTACACCCAATAAACAGAACATGTTAAATTCAATCATGGTAATCTTCCAAGTAACGCTCATAGATCTGAATGCATGTATGAATACAAATATAAAAGTTGTAAGAGTTCAAGAGCAGTGATTGAATTCTATTGAGTTTTATCATGAATGCATTTTTTAAATTCATGATTGTGTTGATAAACCTAATTTCAGCAGCTTCAGTCTGGCGAAGAACTAATTTTTACAAACACACCCTGCAAAAGTAAAAATCATGCGAAATCGCTACAAAATCCTAGTTTTCCCTCCAATAACAATAATTCCCTTGACAAGTTATTAGCGTGAATCAGGTAATAATATGCAATATATAGTTTGCAGGAACAGCAATAGCGCTCCCTACAGACAAGAAATATACTTACCTTTGTCTTTAACCTGCGCTTGTAAAAGTTGCTCCTGTAGGCATTTGAGGTCCTCAATAATCTTAGTTTTCTGTATTGTTACTTTATTCACAGCTTCATTGAAACTGATTTGTTTTTCAGCTTGTATACTAGTTCTCATGTTGGTCAGACTGTCTAGTTTATCCTTCTCGTACGATTTCACCAGATCTTGTATGTCCGCGTTGTGTTTCTGTCTCTCTAAGTCCACAGCAGCCGCAATGGCATGCTCCCTCTCCTCGGCATAATCAGCACGCAGCTTGTTAATCAACTCTTCATATTTTCGACGTTCCTCTTCCACGGCTGATAAAACTGAACTCTGCTTGTCGGTGAAGAAAGACTCTTCCATTTTGCTTACAGCCTGCTCTTTTTCAGTGTCTGTCTGCAAAAGCGTGAAGTATTCACTTTTCTCGGACTCGTATTTTGTTTTCAAGTTTGTCATTTCATTTTCATGCTCTTTACCTAGCTGTTCACGTAATTCTTCCATTTCTCTCTGTTTTTCTCGCACCATATTCTCCTGCATTTGTCTCATTTCCTCAGTAAATTTTTCTTCGATTTCGCGGTTCAACCTCTCTGCCAGTTCTTCTTTCTCCTCAGCAGCATTCTTCTTTGTTTTCTCCATCATTTCACTAAATTCTAACCTCATCTTGTCAATCGCATCCTTCTTCTGACTCGCCATTCTCTCTTCCAGCAACTCAACATCCCGTTCGTACTTTGTAGCTGCCTCTTCCATTACTTTTTGCTCCAACTCAGCGGACTGGCTTTCAAATCGTTCAGTCAAATCCAGCGCAACCTTCTCCTTTTCCAAAGCCAGCTGCGCTATAACCTTTTCCTTTGCCTTAACATCAATCTCAAGGTCATTAATCTGTTCTAGAAGCTCCTCCCTAATAACTTTAATAGTCTTCATTTTTTCATCTTCAGCCGAGGCTTTGATTTCAACCAGTTTAACCTCATAATGTTCCTGTAAAGTCACAGCATTATCCACGCTTGACTTTAGTTGATTTTCATACTCCTGTTTTTCCTTTTCTAATGCTTGCGAGTTCTCTTCTTGTTCCTGAAGTCTTGTTTCCAGGTTACACTTTACATCATCATGCTCCTGCTTCATCCTCCCAATCTCATCTCTTAGTTGCATCCTTTTCTCCTCTTCCAGTTCTTGAACTGCTTTCAAGGCTGTTGTAAATTTAACATTTGCTTCTTTTACTAAGGTAGAAAACACATGTTTACTGTTCTCTACCACATCTTTCAAGTTCTCAAAATCGCTTTTAAGAATGACTTTGGTTTCATCTAACATATCAGAGAGTTTCTGTGCTTGTTCCTGCTTTTGTTGCAACACTCCTTTCATTAATGACAAATCATCTTGAGTTTTTACAAGTTGGATTGACTTTTTCATCAGAGTGCTTTGTAAATCGTCTATATCTATATCCTCTACCATCGTCCTCTCCATCTGCACTGTAGTGTCAGTCAACAGACTTTGCGATGCTGATAAAAACTCGTCATTGTCTGGCAGCAGTGAAACAAATGGCAATGAATCGGCACTCTGTTCGGGGAACTCCTCCATTGTATTGGAAGATAGCTCCTCTGACATCGTTTGAAACTCGTCACAAACATTCTCAACTTTTTCAAAACTCAAACTCAGTCTCTTGGAGTCATCTTCTTTGTTGTCTGTCAGTTTGCAAAGTCTTTTCTCTAATGATGCACTCTCTTCAACCAGAGTGATCTCGCTATCCCCGGCAAGTTCCTTGATTGGACTTCTATCAGTTAGATTTTTTAAACTCAACACCTTTTGGTGGTGGTCATCAAAGTCCTCTTTAATGTCTTCCACATTAGGCACTCTACAGAAGAAAAGAAAATTTGGTGAAAATTGCATTTCTAGGTATATGTATGACCTGACATAGGCAGTGAAATTTATTACGCCCTCACCTGTGGATTAACTCAGACATAACCTAGTAGTTTTTTGTGTTTTTTTGTGCCAGGCGACAGTTCCGGAGATTGAATGTCACTGTTGTCTGTCCTGACTTTTTTTGTTGTATGTGCAAATTGCAAGTGCTAGTGATGACACATAGTGCATTTTTGCCACAGAAGTCATATTCATGTTTGGGACTACATGACAGGGCTGTGCGGCCATCTTCCTATCAAATGGCAGTTTAATGCGCTATCCTGGCGTCAACCAGGCTCGGTCGAACACAAGCACCTGCGGACCTTAACTAAGGTTCCCCCAAAGTCGCATTCCTTAGTGACCTAGTAGTTTGCATCCAAGTAAATCCGTCGAAGAGGGCACAAGCTAGGTACATGTAGAACTTTGTAGCAAGACTCCCCCATGGTTTTAGTATCACAATATTAGTTACAGATAATTTTGCAACTTGGTAAAAAAAAAAAATGTTCCACACAATACACAGGTGGATCAGCTACAATGCAGGGAGAGAAAATGACACACACACAATTCTTTACTTTATGAGTGAACACAAACAGATGCCCGTATAACCAGATTGGTAACCAGATATATCTGTTTTTGACCAAGGTCGTTAGAACAGCAACTCCTTATACCAATTTATACAAATCCATGGTAAATCTTTCTACATTCTACTACC